GATCAAATTGTTCCTCTTACAAACCTATAATTTTCCACTGCGATATATTGAAATCCTTTCGAAGCTTCTTACTTCAGTGAGCTTCTCTTTTTTTATTCGATGTTTTATCGCTCGTAATTTTCAGGATGAGAAATGTGTTTTGCTGTCAGTGACATCCTAGCACTCATCCATCCATCCATCTATTTATTATTTTCTTTACTTGCTTATAGTCTGATTATAAAGTTTTCAAACGGCTGAGATGTTCGCAAAATCTTTCTGCTAATTCAATTATTGTATATGTGAATGATCGTAGTGAACAGATGTGTTGGGTGGTTGCATCGAATGAAACAAATACGTTTCGAATGAAACGTAATCATAATCAAATATTTCGCAATCAAATCAATATGGAAGGGATGATCAGTGCACTGAATGAACTGTTGCTAATGGCAGTTGTCAGTGGCTGTTACTATACAGTCATCGATTGCTTCAATCACTTCAACACATGCATTTCACTTGTTCCCACTCAACTCACAAAAATAAAAAAAAAGCTGTTCGGTCGCTATAACGACTCTCAATCTGTCACCAAATATATAAACTGTCATACGTCCCTCCCAAATTCAATGTCATTCATATACCCCTTCCGTACCATCTATTCACAAGTTTTCATCCAGCCTCATCATCAGTATATTCTTCGCAACTTCCTTCTCCTCATGAATCATCTTTGATTACTCATTTTCACACTTTAAAATGTGATCGCAAAGTTTTACTATTCATTTCAAAGTGTTCATGTCTGCGTGTGTGCGATATTGTAAAACGATGAATTTGCGTACAATTTTTCAATCTGTCGAAAAGTCTTTACGGAATATTTTCTGAAATAACGAAGAGGATATTGTCTTTATCTCAAATAACAAGGAGGATAATATCTTTATTTGAAATAGCAAAGAGGACAGTGTCTTTATCTCTTTGAATGCGTGAATTTGACTCGATTATATTCATGCGAAATTTCTTAAAGCTTTCCGATGTCGTAGATTAGTTATGCGGGAGAAGAATGACGAACTCGTAATTCTGATCGTTTGTGACCGGTACTCATAAGTCGAATGAGATTTCTTAAACGTTATTTGAACAAAAAATAGGCACCGCCCCGAAAATCATCAATTTATTACGCGTTAAGCGAATTGTTAATTTAGTTGTGTGAGTACACGCTCAGCGTTTGTTCGGTTGGTGCTAGCCAGTTGGTGGTTGTTTCGATTCGAAGTGCTTTGCAGATTGCTAGTTATTGACGACTGAAAACATGGTTCGTTGTTTTTTGATTGTCAATGATTCGTTTATTGTGTTGGTGCAGTTCATTAAATTAGAAAAGAAGTGTGGAGTACTCTCGAATCGCCTTGCGATTATTGCGAAATGAAGGAAATGGCTGCTCGACTAAATTGATCAGTTTTAGCTGATTCATCGAACTTAAGTTATTCGGATATATTTAGCAGCAGTCGACAATGGAAAGCATTTTCGGATGAATGGTGAAATCCTAGTCAGTTTTTACTTAAGCTCACAATCAGTAATAAAAATTGGAAACGCTTCCTTCGTAAGGACAGAATTTAGATTGTGAC